AAGAGGTGAAAGACATTTGTCATTTAGAAGACACACTCCTAAGGAATGAAAGTACTTCAGCTCCGCGGGCTGACACCTTCCTCCCATCACATCTGAGTCGCTCTTTCTAGACTTTTTGCGGCATCTTTTAGTTTCCCAACTAAATCCTAAGAGATGAAATACTGTCTTAGACTAAACATATATATTTTTTTTTAAAGTTCAACTAGAGGAACGTAGTATTTTTTTTATGCAGAGAGGCAAGGGAAAGCAGCACCTCACGCCACCAAGAAATGTTGCAACTGATGAGGAATGTCAGCAAGTAATTAAATAGCTCCCTATTTTACAATGTAGTAAGAAAAGTGGGAACTGAAGGAAAACATCTTTTAATATGGATTATCTACTAAAATAGGTCCCTTCTCTTACGTCGATTTTATCAGTATCGTTACGATGGCTAACGCTGACATTTGCTCCAGGCTTTGGACATTTCTAAAGTACTGAAAATATTTTGAGTGCAATTTTGTACTGGGACCATTCTCCAGCCAAAGCACATCAGATTTAACTAAGTCAGCAGACCGATTAAAACCCCTCATTATTAAGAAAAGGATGACTTTTGAGACACGTATTTAAAAAAGCAGAGGTGTAAACCTGAAGTTTTAATATCTTGCTTTTCCTCTCCCCCCAACCCCTCTTCCCAATCCTCCAGAGTTTGGTCACTTCCAAGCATTACAATACCTCTATTGTTCAGTTACACATTTAAATCGCTAAACAAAGATCAACGTTTGTTTCAGTACATTTCTTACATGTCATTAACACCACTGAAGAGCCCTCAGTTCGTTCTCTATTTTTAATCATGACACATTTAAATCATTGAACCAGCTCCTTCAATCATTTTTTTTTTAAAGCACGGGAAATCAGAGTTTCAGAAAAAAGGATGTATTTCCTCCCCAAACAGACAAAATATTTATGCATGTATGTAAACCACCCTCCATGTAACTAAAATCAGTTACTTTGCAACTTTATTTGAGAAGACAGGAAAACTACACTCAGATCATTTTTATAGAAGATTCTCCCCTACCCTCCCAGCCCTGGATTATTTTTTTTTTAAATATATATATATATATAAAATATGATTTCATTTTGTTTGGCAAGTTGTTAAAAACATTTACATCCCCAGCTGGAGCCAAGCATAGAAACAACGATGAAAGAAAAAAGTACCTGTAATTGCTCCATCGTGCAACTAAAACTAATATCTGGGTGTGATGCCGAATCACTGTTCTGAAGAGAAAGAAAAACACACAACAACGCCCGTTTTATAAAAAGACAGTATTGTGAAATTGCATTTTTTTTCTCTGAGGGTGCCGGGAGTACAGTACCTCTACGTTTAAGGTCACCAAGTAGGAAGGCTGGTAAGTTTTATGAAGTTGATTGCTCTAAATTCAAAACAAAGAGCGTAGAAAAAAGTCAGGTCTTGGCTCTGAAAGCGACTAAAGCAGCACCTTGATGTGTTACAATTACCTTGATCTGATATTCCAAGCGCCAAGACACGTCAGTTATATGGAGAGGAGATCTGCCTATGCTGAAAGACACAACAGTTACAAGTTCTCTACCCTACAAGAAAACATCATTTTCTCAAGCTGTCCACCAACAAAGAACTTTTTTGTGATCCTTGTAATGCTTCTTGAAAAGTTCTAAAAGTTTATTGAGAGTAGAATTCCAAAATGAGGAAGATAAGTTTCAATAGCTGTTTTCTAAAGTTTGTTAAAAATGTACCTTTTTATTTTTATTTTTTTTTTAATGGAACAATATTTCTTACTTTAATCACCTAAAGTACACATAGGTATTTTCCAGGACAGTTTCAAAGTAGCTGTGACTGAAACTATGTATCTCTGCTGACAAATTGACCTACCTTCCCAATAGGATTTCCAATGCATCCTTGTTTTTCTGGAGGAAAAAAAAAAAAAAAAAAAAGAAAAAAAATTGGCTAGATTGAATAAATCCCTACGAGAGAAAGAAAACACAAATAGGTCAAAATAGGTTAAAAAACCTGATATTCGGTGCAAAATTGTTCTATTCTCTCTTTGTCCAGTTTACAGTCCTCAAGACATGTGCTACGGGGGGAAAAAAAGAATTTATTAGTTTTTTACTGACATGCACTCAGCAGTATGAGTTTAAAGTAACAACCGCTGGAAAAATGGGGTAGCTTCAAAGAATGAGTACCTTATAGCAGATATGTCGGCTTTCTGCTTCCCTGCCTCCAGAATACACGTCGCGGCCGCCGCATGGCAATGTTTTAATACCGTGGGGTCAATATCTTTCAGGTCGGGATCGTCTAAAATAAATGAATTTACTGATGACACGCTCATTAGCCAAAGCCCAGCGCGCGGGACCGAGAGCCGCCGCTCGCTCTCCGCACGGCATCCCCCTCACACACACAAAAAAACCCAAAAAACCCCTTCGGAATTAAACACATTTGGTGTTTTTGAGCAGAAGGACGGAGCAAGCAGGCAGAGGAGGAGGAGGAGAGGGGCTGAAGCACCGGGTGGTGCGAGCGGTGCCAGGCGGGGCTGCCCGGTGATTCCTTCCCGTTAAAATAAAAAGAAAATAAAATCCTAAAGGGAAAGCTCAATTTCCTCCCCCGAGCCCCGTCCGCGCTCCCTCAGAAGGAGCGCGGAGCCAAAGGCGAGGAGCGGAGCCCGGAGCTCTCCCCCGCCTCAACATCCCCCCCCCCTCCATCCCCGGGGCCGGGCCGGGGGGGACCGGGGGCTGCTGCCACCGACGGGGCGCGGAGAGAGAGCGGCGGCGAGGGGTCATTAACACCGCGGAGTTAATTACGCGGCCGTGTCGCTGTCACGCCGAGGGAAGTGAAGAAGGAAAAATAGAAAAAAAAATAAAAATAAAAAAAAATAAATAAAGACCACCGTGGTGGCGGAGAAACACCTCGTTGCCCCCCTCCCCCCACGGTGACACGAATGCGCGGGGGGGACATCCCACCCCCACACACACAATTTTGGGGTGGGTTTAAGCTTTAATGGACGCATTAGCGCTGACACCCCGCGCAGCGGCACCCTGGAGCCGCGCAGGAGCCGCGTGCGCGCGTAGCGCGTGTGGGGTGGACATCGGACGGGGCACCGCGGACACGCGTGGATTTCCGCGGGCCTCTCCGCGCGCAAACACCCCCCCCACCACCCCCCAAAAAACAAACAAAACAAGGCGGCCTTACCCAACCAGGCGTGAGGGGGGTGCTGGAGGAGGCTGCGGAAGGCGGCGCGGAGGAGCGCGGAGTAAGGGCGTCGGGGGAAGCGGCGGGGGTCGCCCATCCTTAAAAGAAATAAAATAATATAAATATATAAATTAATAACAACTAAATCTGCCTCATTCCTGATTATAAAATGAAAGATTTCATCTAAAATATCGATTTTTGCCTTGGCAGGTCGGGCGGGGCTGGGGGAGAATGGAGGGGGCTTCTTCGCCGACATCTGGCCTCCCCCCCCGGAGCCCACGTTTCGGCCTCAGAGCCTCCGTTGTGCCTCCCAAAAGAATCGAGGGTTTCTGGGTTTAATCAAAAAAAAAAAA